ATTCGCTGGTTAGTAGTGTGACAAAAAGCACAAACCCTTATCATCACTAAAGTCTCTTGCATAGACTAAGACCAGTTCAAAATATTACTTCCATTGGTATATTTTGTGCTAAAAAAATGTTCTACTCACCATCATTTTCATGACCAAATTTAACTAACGATCTAGATTTCTTACGCCGTTTCAATAAATCCCTAGAATATATTTGGATAAATGTCCTTAGGTTTTTGAGTATTTTAAGCTGGTTGCTATGACTATACTGCAACATCGTCATAAACAATAAATCCTCAATAAATAGACAAATTTCAGGACTCAATCTGCCGNTTTTAAGCTGGTTGCTATGACTATACTGCAACATCGTCATAAACAATAAATCCTCAATAAATAGACAAATTTCAGGACTCAATCTGCCGGTATACGAAAAGGAAATAATTTATGTATATAATATGCATACCGTTGTTTGACTTTTTATGACATATACGCAAAAAAACACTGCTATAGAAAAAAAAAGGAGTATTCGATTGCGTTCGTGTGCATTCGTGGTATCAAAATCCAGCGCGTCATTTTATTTTTGCAATAAATCATTTCATACAGGTGTGCTCTACAGAATACATGACATAACACGCGATGGAAAGTATTTTTCATCAACTCGTAGCTGCATTGCACGAATCTCCTTTATCAACTGATGTTCTTGATCAAATAGTGGTTTTACTTCAACAACAAACTGATCAATCCGCATCCAGTTTTGTTACCAGCACACATCCATCGTTACTTATTCTCGAACGATGGGCATGGGAACTATTTAGTCAAGAGTCTCATGGATGGATTGACGAACCATCCTGCCAACAACTTTTTCGAACTCTTGCAATATTCAACGAGAAGATAATTTTTAACTGTGGTGAAATCGGCATGGAGAAGAAAGGTTCTCTTCTATTCTCTGTAACCACTGAGCAAGTCAATAGTATATTCATGCATATTGAGCGAAGTGCGGACGATAATGATCCGTTTATTGCTTTCATTAGTATATGGTTCGACAATCACTCAAAATTTGTTTGTAATAATCTGGAATACATCTCACCTGTGATTGGCTATGTCGGTCGATATGTTTTAAACAAATATATTAAGAGTAAAGAACACAAAATCTTTTTAACTCAACTTCGACAACCACATTTATCACATACAATATTTACAGCGAAGTTTTTATTCTACATTGCAACATGTCCAGCGTGCTTCAATTCGTATTTAGCTCAAGAACCTGAAAACTTTTACGATTCTGCTGACGATATTGTACAATGTTTCTACGAAGACTATTTAGAAATAATTCGTGTTCATAGTTATACTGTTGCATCTTGGAGTAAAGAGCTGGTCTCGTGTATTGCACGATATATAGGTGTAATTGTTGGATGTTTTTGGTTGGATGGTGAGAATCAACCACACATGAAAGTACTTTTTCCTACAGAAGCAGTCGCACATGATCATTTTGAAAATCTGCTTCGTATTCTATCTTATGAGCCGTTATATAAACAAAAAAAAATCACACGCTCAAGTCATGAAGCAATTCTAGTGCACTCCATTTTACTATATTTTTTGTTAATAGTACAAATGAGAAATATGGATTGGCTAGGTGATTTAAATACAACATTAAAAAATACTATGGTATCTATAATTGACGTCACAATTAATGATGAGATCGCTACATGTTGTTATGCTGTGCTATGCGAAATCCTGACTGACGAGGAATTGAAAGATTTGAAAATATCAGATAATATTTGTAATTATTTTCTCCAGATGGTCGAAGATTTTTGGAATAAACCGAAGAAGAACTATGAACATGCACCCATCATGGTGTTGCTCAAAGGTATGTGAGAAAACGTAAAGCCTATTCTGGAGAAATTCTACTAATAATTAGTTTTGTCAGCATTGTAAAATTCAGGTGAATAAGCAAACGTCAGAGTAATAATTTTCTACCTTAAAATTCATCTAGTAGTTTTCTTCGAGAAATTCACTGATTAACGATGAGATCTCTTTGTTAGGTGCTTCAATCACGGTAGTATTAGAAAGACTTCATTCGTGACTCATTTGCGTACACATTAACTGCGGTTACATCTCATATATACTTAGCTTTCAAAATTTTCGTAGGTTTTCAAACGCTATCAAAAAATGACTCAATGCAACAAAAGACTGCTGTCTCACATAGAATATATTTACTTATTGAGATGTGCGATAAATATCCTATTGTATACGATATCATATGGGCGCTATCATTTAATCATGATATTCAGCAACAACTACGTTCCAATTCACCATTTATATGTAAACTCACTCAACTATCTCGACAACCAGAGAATGAACAAATGAGTAAAATAATTGATGGAATTCTATGGAATCTTGAAATCAATCACGAAAATCGTTCAATGACAGATAAACACAATACGAAAGAATTCGATATAATGATTAGTTACTCGCATAA